TGGTGAAACACACTGAAGAAGGAAGCTTAGAAGTGTTAGTGAGCTCTGTAACTCGTCTCTTTATACCTACACTGAAGAATATCCCTAACTGGAATGGAAACCACAGAGAGATGTTCCAGATATATGAAGTGGCATAAATGACTCACTGATCCATTAACACTTCCGCTTATAATGACTCTTGCACCTAACAAGCAGTGACATGATCCTTTGCAATCCCAGGAAGGCTGAATCCCTTGGTCTGTTTTGCTGTTGTTTATGACATGCTGTGTGAGAGAAGGATACAAAGAAAGGGAGGGAGAGACAGCCTAAATAGGAGTTAGTTAATTTGACTTTGAAAAATAACATGGTGAATAATGTGGGTGAACTATTCAGGATGCCCAGTTTAATAGGACTTCAGTATGCAACAAGGGAATCTGCTTAAAAATCTGCCCTTGGCACTATAGCTCAAGGCAATTAACTCAAAAAATATTATTGATCAGGCAGTAAGGACTGAAGCAGACTTCAAGCCATTGGTGATTATTAAAACACTTGCATTGTTTGAATGTTTTCCTTTACCTGGATCATGGCAACACCACTCAAGGCAAGCATTTAAAACATTTTAATATAAACTATGGTTGACAGTAGTTAAGCTTATATATCAGGAAGTATTTGCAGGTATTTCTAATAATTTATACCCTCTCACACTCCTACTAATCATGATATTTTTACCTGAAGTTTGTGAAGCAAATTATATCACAAATAATAATGTAACATTGACTATGATATATGAGGTGCATGATATTATATTATTATTCCCCCTGCAAAAAAAAGATCCCTGCAGTAACATCACAGATCAGCAGTAGATATAGGCTACGGGTTCAAAGTCATCACACAATTACCTAAATTTACAAATGAATTAACAGCATCTGAATCTCAACTTTACTCTGAAATATGTCACTCAAAAACTTTATAAGTATTTGTAGGGCTACCAGATCCTGCTGCAAAAATCCAAATAACCGTCTGATGGCAGTAAAGAGACACAGGAACTCTTAAATTGGCAGCACACATAGTCAAACAGGTGGCTTGAAAGAGGCAATCTGTGGTCCTAGGATCAGCATAATGGATACCTAGTTTCCTGCTGGAAATGATGGGAGGAAACTAAGCAATCTGGTTTCCAGCCAGATCATTGGCAACCAGATCTTTGATTTTTCTTGAATGGCAGCAGAAAACCAGTAATCTTCCAAGTCAATAGGAGAATAGGAGAGAATGGAATGATAGAGGAAGACGATGTGTGAAAAGAGAGAGAGAACGATTGTAAGTCTATAAGTGTTTATATGTAGCCTCTGATCTTATATATAGGATTCTTTAATAAGAATCAACACAATTTTATTACCACCCTTCTACCTTATATTGGGGTGGAACATGATATTTTCTTTCTTAACTTATATAAAGAAAGTGTGATTGTTGCTTAACTGAGTGGAATATTGAATTTTTACTAACACAGAAAAGAATAATTTAATTACATTTTAAGCAAATCCCTGTGAATTCCTTGGATGCTCATATGTAATATAACAAAATTATTGGAAGAAATCAGCATGTTGAATGTCTGTTTGGGCGAACTGACTATTCACTTGAATACAAATCTATGCTTAGTTATGAATATCAGTCAGTAACTGGCTTAGAAAGATAAGCAACTGTTTATTAGCCTGATTTGATTGCTGTGAAAGTAAAAAAATTTTTTAAAGCCTTCTGAATGCTGATGTGAACTTCTTGAAGGAAAGCCAGGGTACCCATGACTGTGATGTTTTAGAAACAAAGTAGTATACCAATGTAAACAAAGCCCAACCAGTAAGTTGCAGAACCTTGTAGTTTGTTAATTTCAGCTTTAGTTCAATGCCCTTAGTTTTTATATGTAGCTTTAAGCTGAAATGCCAAGTTAAATTATTGTGGGAGCTGTCATTATTTTCTTACAGAGGAGAAAATAGAAAAATGGATTTCCCAATACTCATTCAGTCTGGCAGAATATATATTGTGTTGGTGAAGACATTTGGGAGTGTCAAATACAATTAAGCATGTACTGAAGGATTTTAGAGCAACCACCAGGATACATTCTATTCAAATCTTTCCTCTGCCAGTAAGATGAAAAGATACAGATCTTTAATAACATAGCATACTCTTAAGTTGCTCTTGGGAAAATCAGTCATGAAGTTCAAAATGTTTTCGTAATTCCCTTTCTGTAATGTAGGGATTATTCAATGTGTTATCATTTATAGAATCTTCAGGCTCTGATGTTCTATCAGAGACCTCCAGTAATATGGGATGGGACGTGTGTAAGCACTTAAACACCAGCCGCTACAGGAATTAGACTCTGATGCTCTATTTTGTATTACAGGATTGTACAAAGCATTCCAAACAAGTGCTTCACAACATGCAGGAGCATATTCAAGGCATTTTTAAAAAAATAATTAAAGCAGGTGTGTTACATTGCTGCTTCAGACCATCTCTGCATGTGTGTGCATGTGTAGCCGCATTACTTTGCTTTGCTTCAAAGAGAACAGAAAGTTATTAAAAATCACAAAGTTGTAAGGAGAGGGAAAATGACTTTCCAGGAAGCAAGCCATTCAAATCTCTATGTCTCTCTGCAAATTTAGCACTTAATTCTAATTATGTACTGTATCTGAATATCCAAGGCACAGTTAAGCATGAACCTATGGCTGGAAATGATTTTGCAAACCATAGTATGCATTAATCTTAAGATAGTTTCTTCACCTCTCCATTATCTCAGAATGCAAGATAACAAGCTGACAATCCACGTCCTGAAGAAATTAGTCTTAGCTCTGTAAAGGAAGCTTCGATCTACCTTTTTTAAATTTATTTTTTATTATTAAGAAGAAAAAAAACACATAGAAAGTGCTTTAACAAAAAAGTGAAATACAAGAAAAAAACATGTTACTATGTCATTATAACAGTAAACAATTACAATGCTATATATACTTATCTGATGCAAATATTATTCAAGTATGTATTTCTAATACATTTATATGACTATAATTTTTTTTAAACCTATTGTATTTTGTATAAATGAGTCCCATATTTCATTATACTTGTCCATACAAAGTCTACCTCTATAGGCAATCCGCTCATAAGTGGCAAGTGCAAGCAGGTCTTCAGTCCATTGAATAAAAGGGGCCATGCATTTATCTTTCCAATGCTGCAATATCAGTCTTTTGGCCATAGTAAGGGCACGGAGAATCC